ATTTTTTCCTTCAAGATAAAAAAATTAGCAACGCTCGAGAATATTGAAATGGCGTTATTTTTCACAACTTTGCTGCCCTCCCCTTTCTTTACGTCACTCTCAAAATGTCAGATTACTGGAATATACACTTTTTAGCAGGTAATTACCTCACCCTACCTTAATCTGACGCGCTAGAGAATTTCTGATGATCAATTTTTTTCTACTAATCTGATCCTTCATCACTCACAGGCGGCCTTATATATGGGGCTCATAATTGGTGGAGGTACTTAACCGGGTACAAGGTATCCCCCTGTATAATTATCTGCCGCGCTTTAGTAAATCCCGAAATCTCCGCTTGGGCTCCCCTATTATAAGTAGTAAACGTTTTGAAATGGATGACACTGTTAGTTTTTGCTTCACTGGTAGGTTTTGTTGAATATAGTTTTCGCAGAACAAGAAGTACATAGTTGGTCACTGTCACTTCTTCATGAATTATTATTCAGTCATCCCTGTTCATTGTGTTCCAAATTGGTTTATTTCACTGAAGAAAGAATAGAAATTGTTGCAACCTATTATCGAAATTATGAATGTGCTGAAGCTGCTGCAAGAATTTATAATACGAATCATCCAGACCACAACGTGAGCCATTAATACGTTAAACATAAGTAATAGAGGGACAAACACATATCAAATGATGTATCACTCGACCTCCCATGTCATTACAAAAAATTGGGGAGGTATTTGCTGACGGCAGGGGGGTGAAGTTTCGGGTATGATTTCCACATCACAATTAGTCCCCCTAGGAATAAAAATTGACGTGTTCTTTGAAATTTTCGATTACACGTCTGTTTCTGACTAACGGGGGGTCAAGTTTTCGTTGGAACGTCTTCAACACTTTCCAAGTAGCACTGATGTTTTCATTTGACAGTTTACAAAACAGCAACTTCCAATTTTTGCTATACAAATATAACGTTTCGAATCAAAAAATCGATGACGTTATATCTTGTAAGGTGTTGGGGTCGAAAAAGTGGATAAATAATATAATGGAACGTTTCCATACTTAATGTATTAGTACAATGTCCAGGTGAATTTTTATATTTTTTCCAGGTGAATCTAATCATCAACCAATTCTAGCAGGCACGAAACACATTTAAATTCCATTTGATGTAACCGGCGAATTTACATCTGAAAAATTCATTTATGTTTCGTCGTTTTAATAATCATTTCATACAAACGTGAATGAAACGACCTATTTTTACCCCTTTTAGGGGTTAGAGTAATAACGACTAGCAATTCGTTCGAAAAACATGATGATGGTGAAGTCATATAAAAAGTTGTTAACTCAGTTCCGCATTCGGCCGTCGGTATTTACATTTTTCCGATTAGACTGCCGCGAAACAGATTGATGCTTTTTTATCGATAGTTGAACGTATGCGTCGATGAGAGTAATCGAATGATTTCAACATCAACATCCATCAGCTGCCCAAAAAAGACATAACAAAGGCAGGCTGAAACCAGTCAAAAAATCCAATTACGAAACTGACAGAAACATGAAGTGGATGAATATTGATATCGAACAAATGTTGACAGTAACCGTTTCGCAAGTTTTTTCCAACATCGAATGGAAAATTTTTCATCAAGTTAGACAGTTCAATTTTCATGATTTAGAGAGTGACTTCTCGAGTTGAATAGAAATCAAGAGAAAGTAAGTATCAAGTAGTGAGTTTTGCTGAAACAAAATAGAAATAATTTTTTTTTCGTTTTGTTGTCAGATTTTTCCTATGAAAAGTTGAAATATCATTGAAAAGCGGGTTATTTCACGAAAAAAAAGTGGTATTTACCGCCAAAGAGATCGTTAGGTATCGTTACAGATGACAAAAGACAAAACATCGTAAAAATTTAAAACATAGCATGACCATCATGCTGACCATATACCTGAAGTGAAAAAAAAAAGAAAAATGTTGATATGTATGTGCTTCAAGAGTATTAATTTTGAATTATTAATTTGTTTCGAAAATTTGGTCCGTTTTTGTAGCTCCATATATCGACTGCGTCGAAAGAGAGAATTTTGTACTTTATAGAGTGTCTAAAAACCAGATGGATTATGTTCGTTATTTCTGTTACTGTTCATATTAAAAAAAAACCGAAACACGTCAAATGTACCTCCAACCCCCTTCGAATGACAGGTACAACCCCCAATTTTTGAAATGGAAAGTACAGGTTTGTGATATATCGTTTGAAAGGTCTCTTCATTCTCTATTCACTTTCACTTTCAAGTCTATTGAAACAATTAAAATAAAATAAATCAAAATCATGTGGTTACCTAAATTCAATAAAATACACTCAATAACTAAAATGTAATGCAAAACGTAATGAAATGTACAATACGAAAAAGACCTATGGATGGTAACGAAGTAGATGTTCAAAATGTTCACCGCCAACGTCTTGGCAACATCCTAATCTCAAATAAAACTGTCTTCTAACATTATTTAACATATCAGGCGTGGCCGAGATATGTTTAGTTTTGTACATATTGCTCTTTACTATCCCCATAAAAAAAATCCAATGATGAAAGATCAGGTGATCGCGCTGACCATTCTATCGATCCTCGCCTCCCTATCTACCGATTGAGAAATGTTGTATCGAGGTATTGCCAGACATTAACTTGGTAATGTGGTGGTGCTCCATCCTGCTGAAACCATATCGTATTCACTGGAACTTGATCAGGATATAACTTGCTAAACTTAAAATAACATCATTTTGAAGTAGTGCCAAATAATTATCGCCATTCAAGTTGCCCTCAATGGTTTGCTACAATCCCTGCACAAACTTTAACCTTTTGAGGGTATTGCGTGTGTTCTTCTCTCATCCAGTGAGGATTTTCCATTAACCACTAGCGGCAATTTTGCCGATTAGCATGACCGTTAATAGACAAAGTACACTCATCAGAAAACATAACGTCTTCTAATCGGATGATGTTGTTATCCAACAACATTTGCTCACAAAAATAAGTTCTTCCACCAACATCGACTTCCATGAGCTCCTGAGTAGGTATCATTTTATAGGGATGCATTTTATTTTCTTTCAATATGTTTACTATCGATGTATGTCTTACATTGAATGTAGTGGATGCCTGTCTACTCGATTTATGTGGGTTTTCCTCAAACTCAAGCATCACATCTAATTTGAGTTCATCACTCATTGCGTTGGCAGCTGCTTTTTTTATCTGCCCCACATGACCAAGCGAAACTGCTCCTCTATTTTGCTTATTGTTTCTTGAGATATGGGCGGTAAATTAGGAAATTTTTAATTAAATAGGCGAGTTACTTTCTGTTGTGTTCAGGTTTTATCTGAAAAACACGATATTGCTAATGATAGGTGTATCAGAAAACGATTCAAATTACTGATAATTATTATCAACAAATATTTGCCTTAGATAATTTATGGAGTTGGGAATAATAAATGACTACAATATTCAAATTATGTTGAAAATTAGTACAACGATTTGTTACTACTGTAAAAACACTAGTGACTGAGTCTAAAGGTTATCACCTAGAAATAAAGCAGGTTGGCGCAAGCAGTCGTGTTCTCTAATTGAATAGAACTGGCCGATACTTGATGAAAATCCATATTTGAAAAACTAATAANTGAAGCTAATAAAAAACGTGTAAAAACGGACACTACTTTTGGAACAACCTATATATGGGAGCTACTTCAAAGGATAAATCAGCTATAAGACATACCGTTCTCAAAACTGACTTTGACTTTCAAAACACACACACAAAACTGAATTATCGAGTGATACTTTTTGGATTAACCAGTTATTAAGGAATTTGTGACTACAGTTTCTTGTTCAATAATCTTGTTTCAATAATCAATGTTTTCCCTAAGTTCTACAATTGAATTATGAAACCTGGATGTCATGGTCAATCAATACGTTGATTAAGTGAATGTAGAGCTTTGGCCGTGAGTTAACTTAGCAGAAAAATTGTTCAATATGAAAGTTTGTTCAAGAAAGATCAATTCATAATGTGTACGTCAATGGATTTCTGAAATTTCTTTGAAAGGAAATAACGTAAGGCTGTTGGGACAGTGATATTTTGGATCTTCTGTAGGACATATCTGTCAAACGATATTGAAACAATTGAATAGAACTGGCCGATACTTGATAAAAATCCATATTAAAACTAATCAATACAGTTTATTGTATGATTTTCACTACAAAGGGTTTTACAAAAATCGTATAGCGAAATACGTGTCGCGGTTTACAGTTTATTGTATGATTTTCACTATAAAGGGTTTTACACGTGTCGCGGTTTTTGTAAAACCCTTTATAGTGAAAATCATACTGTATTGATTAGTTTTGATATCGAAACAGTTGAATTCCTTCTCTGTACTTCAACTAATTCTCCTTCAATCAAAGAATTCATTTTCAACACCAAAAGTCTTTTAGATTCGTCTCAGAGAACCATAAAAAAATGTAAACTAATCCTAAAAAAACGTTTTTCGAAAAAACTATGTTATCTTCAGTGATTATTTCTTCGTGAATATATATGAAAGTTTTCATTCAACTATTGTTCAGTTGATGAAAAAATGAGTATTCTAGTTGCCACATAATAAAAATAGGTCATTTTATAGGTGTCACTTTTGGATGTACAGCAAGTTTAGGTCGTAAAACAAAGAATTTTGGATTTCAAGGGAAATGAACATGGTATACAGTACAATCAATACCCACGATCCATCTACAGGCCGGAAGAGAAAACTGTCTCCAAAATGGATCGATAAACGCCATCTTTACTTCACGTTGAAGGATACTTTCCATTCGAGCCTTGAAAAGTTTCGATCATTTTCGATAGAGGGCACGACTTGGAAGACAGAAATTATTGAAGTAAACAATTTGTTCGGTTAGTATAACAATTAACATATTCATGACTTATTCAGATCTTGCACAACTATCAGATAAGGCAGATATGAATATGATATTCTGATTTAGTACTTTTGTGCTAATGATAAATACATACCTGGCTCGGATTTGGGGGGTGATAACGGACTTTCTGGTAAAAGTATTCCTTTCAATACCAGGTCGTCTCTATTGGCTCGGACTGATATTTTTCTTTCTAAGGCTGAAACAAGATTGAGTTGTATCAGATATGCAAAATTAAGTCTGAAACTAGAATAAATCGTCTAATATGTAGAATAAAGGAAGTGTGGGTATCATGCCAATAATAACCACCTCTTGGTGGGCTTTTATGGTCTAACAATCATATATTTCCTACTTTTAGGTTTGTCAGCCGTGGTCTGAAAGTTTTTGACCTGATATTTCGCAGTTACAGACGAAACGTCAGGCCACGACAAAAACCTGAAAATAGCAAATAGTCTGTAACCACCTCTATAATCTCTATTTGGCCATCTGTTAATCAAAAGTTTGACTTGGAAAGAGCTACTTACGTATTGATGAATAGAAATTAAAACTTTTCTGGTTTTCAAGTAGTTTGTTCTTCAGGAATATTTTTTTAGGTTTTGAGAATGAAAAGTGATTACTTTTACAAACGTTGACAATTGCACCATAAGTGATCATTGTTCTGACAATCATCACATAAATCCAATGGATTTGTTTGGGACCTAAACCCCAAGTTTTACCACAAATCCTTCGACATGTCCATAGAGATAGTCTGGCTTTGTGTAAAACTTTTTCCAAGTGAGCGTTCCAAGTGAGTTTTTTATTAAGGACAATGCCAAGATATTTTACCTCAGTTCCAAATGGACCTCACCATTAAGGGAAAGTGGCGTTAGATCGTCCAATTTTCTCCTCCTGGCGAAGGGGATTATCACAGTTTTGCTGGGGTTGACAGACATCTGCTCCCTTAGGTACCAAATGTGAACAACTTCCAACGTGCTTTGGAGGATATCACAAGCTACCCTTCGCGACATGGGCCTTGCCAAGATGACAAGGTCATCTGCATTAGAGAATACACAATCTATAAAACATATGTTTCAAGTTTGAAGTCGTTGAGTTGTTTACTATCGGTTTTTTGAAATGCGTGTGGCATAATTTTCCTATTTCAACGTATGATTGAAGAAATCAATCATGAAATGATCGCATCTGGCTAAAAAAAAGTTTTGTTTCATCTAGACCAGCCATACTCAACCTTTTTTTTGATGGGGCCACAAACACGTTTCGGTCTTGATGCGCGGGCTCCCAAAAATATTTAAGTGTTAGTGAAAAACATAATTCAAAATTGGCGATGTATTTATTGAAAAAAGAAAAGGTGGCCACAATAAGCCAGCTATACAATACATGACCTTGTAACCTTTATAATATAAGGTAGTCATGAAGCCACATGCGATGTAGACCAGATTTTGAAAGAACTAACAATGACTTCAGGTTTTAACAAAGATGTTTCGTATGAAACCATCCTGTTTTGATGAGATTTTTGATACTGTGAACACTTTTTCAAAACTTTGTCAAGATCGGGTCTGTATACACATTTTTTGTGTATTTCATTTTCGAAAAAGACGTTCCACACACGAATGTAGACCTAAAGAATGTTAATAAGATGTGTGCACTTCTTTGGAGGCTTTCATATTTTTAGGGAACAATACAAAATTCCAAATATTCTCTTTAAACAGGACTTCTAGGTTGGTTTCGTTTTTAAAATCGATGAACTGAGTAATTACAATTTGAAACTGATGTTAGCTCTGAAATAGCTGTTGTTTCTAGATGCCCCAGATTTTCTACGAGTAACAAACATTTTTTGATATTTCTTAGATCTCGGAACCTTGTTTAAAATTGATCTAATAATGCAGTTATATAATTTGAAATTATGGAGCAGTTTTCCTCAAAAATGTCAATACGGTCCTCTGTAGTCTTCATCATAATTGGAAAATTTTGCAGCTGTTTGATTCCTCAAAAGCAAATACTTTATTCGTCATCTTTGAGACTATGTTATTTTCACCTTGTAAATTTCGATTAAGGCTATTTAGTTTTTCTGTAATATCACATATAAAGGCTAAAAGACACCACCATCCATCCGTTTGCAATTCAGATTCTAGACAATGCACCAGGTCACAAATCCATTATCGCAATGACCAAAATTAACAAATCAAAGTTTGAATTGCTACCTCACGCACCCTATTCGCCAGATTTAGCCCCCTTGAATTATTTTCTGTTCCCAAACTTAAAAAAATGGCTCAGTGATCAAAGATTTTCCAACGATGAAGAAGTGATGTCGGAAGTTGATGGCTATTTTAAGGAGCAAGGCAGTTCTTATTATAAATATGATATCGAACCTATTGAACGTCGCTGAAAAAAGTTTATAGAGGTGCAAGGAGATTATGCCGAAAAATTAATAAATTTGTTTCCTTTACTCCCCATTATTTTAGCTTTGTTCATTTTTCAAGCTGTGGAAGTTTGAAAACAGTGAAAAAGAGAGAAACTGTTATGTTATAACGCTGTTTTGTCTCCGTCTTTCCCTTGTAGAAGAAGGAGACGCTTTATATGAATATATGTTTTATCGCTTACTTTATTGATGTCGCATGTGTAATGATTCGTTGGTCCAAGTGTAGAATTAAAAATAGACTAATATAAGATTTCCGGAAGAGAAACACAAAATTATGGTATACTTACTTCTAGAAACTGCTTCAAGTCTATCCGATTTCCGTTTCCGTTTCCATTTCCACGGCCTCAATAATTTTCCTATCGAAAACTTGCTTTTTCTTTCTGCCGGTGGACTCCTCGTTCCGCTCCCGAGGCTGTTTGTTCGGAACGCCGATCCATTTTGTTTTTTGGCTGAAAAAAAAATGGTCCTGTTTTTATGGGGAAATGGCAAAAATTTCATTTCGCAAAACATCAAATTTCCATATATATTTACGGAAACATATCTGAGTTGGCCTGCTACTGGAAAAGTCATTTAAAAAGGGAGTGTCTTCGTAAATCTTTCTTCAATACGAAATAAAATATAGGAACAGATTCATGAAATAAGATTACGATAAAAAGTATGTTGGTCAAACTAAGAGGACTATGATAGCTCGCTACAAGAAACATGTTTCACATATGCGATTCCATAGACTAGAGAAGTTGGGTGTTATCTATGGCTCTATGGCCAAAGCGAACGGTCACAAAATAAGTGAATAATGTATGAAATTGTGGAAATCGATTACATGGCAAGTTTTAAGTTTTTTCCCGAAGTAAAATGAGACTGAGATCTTCAAACGGCGACGAAATTCCTAGTCCTTACAGAAATTGATATAATGACCCTAAATAAGTAAAGAACCTAATATAAAGTAATGATTCTAATGAAATGAAATAAGTGAAAAATAATTCGAAAGGTCCTAGACATCACCACTCTCCTCAGCAATCTACGGTTACGGTTACTCAGGTTACGCCCAACGATTTTATTATTTTTTCATCTGATCAATACCGTAGATTGCTTAGGAGAGTGCTGGGGTGATGACTGCTACCTAGGACCTTCCGAATTATTTTTTAGCTTTTAGTACACTCCCTACATCATTATGATCTATTTTTCCAATAAAACCGTTTAACATATTTGAACTATGCTGGAAACTGTATTACGGTGGATAAAATGTACGCCGTCTCTTCCGAAGGTGATATGAACTGACGGTACATCTGTTTCGTATATTTGAGTTCGACGAAGGTGAGGCTAAACAATTTCTGCAATGTAGCCGATAGCGATACGTCAATATTGGACCGCAACATATTGAAGTAGTTGTGAAATAATATTTAATCCGCCATTTTGTAGCTGCAGCCATCTTGAATTTGCATCTTTTTTAAAGTGTACTACTATTCTACAAGTCAAGCTCTGTCATTTGATTCCCAATTACTAAACAAACAAACAAGGCAAGCTAAATAAAACTGTTAAAAAACATTAACATAGCCGTAGTTAGTACAAGTTATCTCTTGCTGATACGAGGGTTGCCTTTTATATTTCGGGATTAGATAACAAAAACAAATATTAATAATCGAAAATCACTTTAGTGTTTTTCAAAATATTCCCCATGAAGATCTATACAATTTTGCATGCGTTTGAACCAATTGTCGAAGCACTTTTGCCATTCTGATTGAGGTATATCCAAAACATGCATTCTGAATGCAGCAACCGCTTCTTCAGGTGCCGAAAAACGTTTACCTCTCAGTTTGTTTTTTACGTGCGGGAATAAAAAGAAGTCATTCGGTGCCAAGTCAGGACTATACGGCGGATGACTCATCAAATCGATGTTTTGGATGCCCAAAAATGCAGTAGCCTATGCGTGACAGCTCGCATTGTCGTGGTGAAAAGTGATCCATCTTCGGAGGTTGGTTTTCCTGATTTCTTGGAAGACAACTGGCAAACAAATGGTTGTGTACCACTCAGAATTGACTGTTCTGCGTTGTTCTAGTGGTACGGTTGCGACATATCCAGTTTTCCCGAAAAAACCGGCGATCATTTGTTTGGAAATGCTTCGTGCACGCACAACTTTTGTTGGATTTGGCTCATCTTGAAACACCCATACAGTCGACTGCTCTTTACATTCGGGCTCATACGTGTAAATCCACGATTCATCACCTGTCACGATGTCATAATCGTGTTTCGAAGCACCGCGATCGTATTTTTTTAGCATTTCCTTCGACCAATCGACACGAGCCTTTTATTGAGCGATTGACAAATTGTGTGGGATCCAACACGAACAAATTTTTTTGACAGTCNCCAACGCGAACAAATTTTTTTGACAGTCAAATATTTATGCAATATTGAATGTATGCTGGTCCCACTAATGCCTAGGTTGTCTCAATCTCGCGATAGGTCACATGACGATATTGCGATATATCATTTCCTGCACAGTATCAACTGTTTTCGGAACAACAACTGATTTTGGACGACCTTCACGAAATTCGTCTTGGAGTGAACTACGACCACGATTGAATTCACTATACCATCGATAAACACTGATCCTTGATGGTGCTACATCGCCAAACATTGAATTAAGTTCATCCATGCACTGTTGCGGATTTAATCTACGTCGAAAATTGTAAAAAATAATCGCACGAAAATGTTCGTGATTTAATTCCATTTTTGGGCCGAGATGAATATTTTAAGTTACTGTAAACACAAATAGCGCGCCTATGTCAAAACGATTTGAGTACCTACGTATGAGCTCAAAAATGTCCAACTTTACGATAGAGCTGTCAGTTGCCAGATTGCAACACTAGCGTTGCCAAATCCCGAAAGACAATATTTTTGCTCAGTTGTAGGAAAAGTGTTGTCAGTCGAACTAGAACTGTTCAGATACAATTTACGTTGATGTCTTCCAATGCATGGAAGGAAAGGGCTGCTGACTCCCTTGCAAAGGAGGAAGCTGCAAGCTATGCTTGCAGCTATGCGACCGTATTTTAAGTGAAAATTAACGGTATTGAATTGTGTGCGAAGAGAATGGAAGAATCCAACCCCATACACAAGTCAATAAAAATATTCTCGGACAGTCAAGCGGCGTTGAAAGCTCTTGGCTCCTACCGTGCAACGTCTAAATTGGTAGCAAATTGACAAAAACAACTCTCCTTGATAGAAAGACTCAACAGATTGTCTCTGGTCTGGATTCCTGGCCATACTGGCCTGGAAGGCAATGAGACTGCTGACTTCCTTGCAAAGGAGGGTGCTGCAAGCAACTTCATCGGACCAGAACCTGTCATTGGCATGGCTTAAGGCTTTGCTGAACAAAGATTGAACACCTGAGTGGCAGGAAGATTTATAGACTTATGGCAACATCTTCCAGGATTGGCTCACTCCAAGGCGTTTATTCACCCTTCGAAGCTTGATACCAAACAGTTGTTGGATTACAGTAGGGATGAACTACGATGTCCAACAGGCCTTCTTACAGGTCACTGTCATTTGATTCATCATATGCAGAGACTAGGACTGTCGGAAGACAGTGTGTTTCGCCTCTGTTTGGAAAATGATGAAACAGCAGATCACATACTTTGTGCCTGCCCCGCTGGGGCCGAATCAGGTTTTTAGAGTTCGGCAGAGCCGTACTCTTACCATCTGATCTGAAAGACCACTCACCATACAAACTAACTGGCTTCATCAATGAGCTGGGTTTATTTGGTCGAGTGTGAATAGGTGTGAGCCACAATAAACTCTTGCGGGTTGCGGTGGAGGGTCGAATAGACCCACTCACTTTGGACCTAACCTGACCTTCCACTGTATTCGAAATTTTGATTGACTTCATTACCGTTCGAAGTAGTTCTGAGATGAGCAAATCAAGCTGTCCCCAAAGAGTAACGACCAGGTCATCACCATAACATTGTGTCGTGAAGTCATGCTATGCAGCTTTGTTATCATGATAATAACTAGCGATAACAGTGGAGGCGATAAAACTCACTTATTGGGACATTGCTAGGTGCCCTTCCCTAGAGTCACTGCTACCAGGTTCCTTATAAAAGTTGATTGCATCCTCCAGATCTCTTCCCTGGTGTTTTGAAAAACACCTTCTATGTGAAGAAAGCACGAAGAGCTTTTTGTTTCAGACAAAGATCTGTCCAATATTTTTATAGTGAAAGGGGTTTGGAATATTCATGTTATTCTTCAGGAGTTGCAAGAAGGAAATATCGATGTTACTAGAAAGCATATAATGGCGAAAATAACGGAATGGGATAGTGCCCCAGTGTGAAAAAAGGTGTGGGGAGTAGGGAAATACTATCACATAATGAAGAGCTGAAGAAAACACTTCTTGGGGTGGAGAGTTTGTATAAAACAACATAAGCAAGGGGAAAATTAAAATTGTACTTCCGACAGATAAAAATAAGGAATGAAGGCAATAAACTAGTAGAGAAGATGTCAAAATCTCATTGGACAAAAGATCAGTCGCATGTTAAGTATTTTAAATACACCAAAGTAGAATTGCAGGAAATGAGTGAAGATAGCCCTCGTAAGTAGTCTAATGCAAGAAAACAGACATACGAACGAGAGGCAGACTCGGGAGGAGGTCCAGAAGTTTGATTGCAATTTTCATACTAGTGATTCAGAACGATTAGACTCTTGAGAGGCGGCTCATTCGCATACAAACCATTTTTTAAACAAAATAGACTTTTTCGATGGAAAATTATTACATGAATATAAAAGGATATTATGAATACGCTGACCCGTTATTTAGTTATTAACACTATCCATGATAATTATATAATTTTCACACTATAAATGTGATTCAATACGCCTTTCACCTGACACTAGTTTAACTGGTACCCCTGATAAGCTAGTAGACCCAATTTGAATTTTTATATATAATATTGGCAGGCCATACTTCTAGTCTAAATTTGAACTCTATCCCAGAATTTGTTGCTTNTGTTTTGCCAAATCACCATAAACGGATATAGCATTCAATAACACGTGCCAATGATAAAATTGTTTTATCAAAATGGGTGTTCTGTTCGGGCAACGCATCGCAAACTTCATTCATTTCAAGGTCGCCATACTCAGCTTTTCGCAGACCACAACTTGGCGAATTTTCCATCGGGACTTGGGCCTGCATCCGTACAGGAACTGAAGTTGGACGACCATAGATAACGACACTGAATGAGCTCTGTAGCAATTGGCAACTGACCCTAATTTTCATAGATAAATCATCATCAACGTTGAGGTCCATTTCTGGATGAATGGGTACGTGAACAAACAAAATTGTCGAATTTGGGACGATACCAATCCACATGAGATACAAAAGGGTCCATCCCGAAAAAGTCACTGGTTGGTGTGGATTTTGGGCTAGCGGCGTCATCGGTCCATATTTCTTTAAGAACGACGTTGACCAGGTCACCACCACTGTCGACGGCGACCACTATAGGTAACAGGACGGCGCTACGTGCCACACAGCTCATGGCACATTGAATATTCTGCATGAGCGATTTGAGGGCATAGTCATCTTATGTGGAAGTGATGTGAACTGGCCACCGAGATCATGCGATTTGACTCCGTTATACTTTTTCTTGTAAAGTTTTCCTAAGTCCAAGCACAAACCACAGCAGTCTGCCAAATATAGCCTGATTTCGGATGTGTTCCATCCAGAGAAGCCGTGGCGGACATTTGAACGATGTTATATTTCACACATAATGGCTTGAATAAGTATTTCAAACGAATAAACAATTTCGATGATTTTCCACATACACTTATTTGAATGTAAAGATAGGAAACATCTAATGAAAGACCCTATATAATTTTTACACACTTGAAGTTATGAACCAGTAATTTCTTTCATTCCTCAACATTATAAGAATATTTCCTTTGATCTGTTCGTGACAATGGACTTGTTTCATGCTATTGAAAACGATACTGGTTCGCTTATAGACTGATCGAGTTAGGGGTATATTTTACTTATCAATCCTAATCGGTCCCAAGATATCTTTATATTTTCAGAAAAAAGAACAATTCAAGAAACATTGTAGAGATGCAGGTCAGTTCCTGATCTTTTATAAAAATTCAATTATAAATGCTGAAAAGGGTTACTAAATTGAAAGCTCTTATTCCGATGCCATCTACAGAAGTTTCCAGAAATACCGTACCCCTTTTCAACATTTGCCACTGTAGACCAAGTGTCCAAGTGTTGGAATGTTCTACACTTTCCAATGGTTGCTTCAATAGAGAAGTAATAAAATACAGGGTCTCACCCTAGGGTTGAATGCACTACCTGATTGAAATCCTATTTCCAGAAACCATCAGGAAAACTTTAAGCTTTTGTTTCACACTCCTCTAACTAGACTTCCCTGATTTTTGAGATCTGGGACCCCGGCAGTCTCCAGCAGTAGCCACCTCAGACCTTGGTTTTACAGTGCAGCCAGACACGTCCAAAACGATCTCCTCGTTGTGTCTAATTTATTACATTCATTCCTCTTTCTATGCTTTTAGTGGCTCTTATACCTTATTAGTTTTTATGCTTTTACTGGTTCCTATGTTTTCACCTAGCAGAACTTAAGTTGGAATTTATCTTGCTGGACGATTATCAACGTTTCCAATTAAATCACCACTGGGTGATCTTCATGTGAAGCCAAGCACAGAGAAGACCATTTAAAAATTTCATCCTCCACACATAGAATCGGCATTAGTTTAGAACCCAGGCAACGTTCCCACCTGTTCTATCAGTCCCTTCAAACATATATACACAGAGGGCGCCCACCGATTCTACTTAAAGAAGATATTTCTGACTATACCTCATTTCTCACTCTACGTTAATCGCTATAAAAACAACTCTGATTCATCAAAAGAATAAGACTACTTGTTAACGTCTATTTGTATATCGAACAGTGAAATGAAAAAAATTCAAAGTAAACAATATGGACTTTGAATAGGTGTCAGGTGTGGGAGTTTTTAGAATGAAAAGTGATTACTTTTACAAACGTTGACAATTGCACCATAAGTGATCATTGGTCTGACAATCATCACATACATTCAATGGATTTGTTTGGGACCTAAACCCCAAGTTTTACCATAAATCCTTTGGCATGTCCATAGGGACAGTCTAGCTTTGTGTGAAACTTTTTCCAAGTGAGCGTTCCAAGTGAGTTTATCATCAAGGACAATGCCAAGATATTTTACCTCCGTTCCAAATGGAATGACCTCACCAATGAGGGAATTGGCGTTAGATCGTCCAATTTTCTCCTCCTGGTGAAGGGGATTATCACAGTTTTGCTGGGGTTGACAGACATCTGCTCTCTCAGGTACCAAATGTGAACAACTTTCAACGTGCTTTGGACGATATTACAAGCTACCCTTCCCTACGTGGACCTTGCCAAGATGACAAGGTCATCGGCATTAGAGAATACACAATCAATAAAAAATATGTTTCAAGTTGAGTTGTTTAGTATTTGTTTGGCAATGAATAATAGTCGACTAAAAGTGCGCGAGCTAGCAGACTTAGCGAGCATTTCAAAAAGTGCGGTACATCGTATATTATCTGAAAATTTGGATATGAAAAAGCTGTGTGCAAGATGAGTGCCGCGTTTGCTCACACTAGAGCAAAAACAGTGTCGTGAAGTTGTTTCAATTGAGTGTTTAAATCAAAACCGTGGACTTAAAAGGGAACACCGACTCCAAAGAAGGCAAGGACCGTCCTATCTGCAGGCAAGGTCATGACATCGGTTTTTTGAAATGCGCGTGGCATAATTTTCATTGACTATTCAACGTTTGAGTGAAGAAATCAAGCACGAAACGGCCGTATCTGGCTAAGAAAAAAGTTTTGTTTCATCTAGACCAGCCATAGTCAACCTTTTTTTTAATGGGGCCACAAACACGTTTCGGTCTTGATGCGCGGGCTCCCAAAAATATTTAAGTGTTAGTAAAAAACATAATTCAAAATTGGCGATGTATTTATTGAAAAAAGAAAAGGTGGCCACAATAAGCCAGCTATACATGACCTTGTAACCTTTGTAATATAAGGTAGTCATGAAGCCACATGCGATGTAGACCAGATTTTGAAAGAACTAACAATGACTTCAGGTTTTAACAAAGATGTTTCGTATGAAACCATCTTGTTTTAATGAGATTTTTGATACTGTGAACACTTTTTCAAAACTTTGTCAAGATCGGGTTTGTTGCTGCATGCTAACCTTATTACATCATCCAGATGAGAGTCTGTAAGTTTATTTCTGTACACATTTCTTGTGTATTTCATTTTCGAAAAAGACGATTCACACACGAATGTAGACCCAAAGAATGTCAATAAGATTTGTGCACTTCTTTGGATGCTTTCATATTTTTAGGGAACAATGCTCCGAAATTCCAAATATTCTCCTTTTTTCCTTTTTTTCTTTAAACAGGACTTCTAGGTTGATTTCGTTTTTAAAATCGATGAACTCATCGAATAGCTCTGAGTAATTACAATTTGAAACTGATGTTAGCTCTGAAATAGCTGTTGTTTCTAGATGCATTGGTCAAACTAAGAGGACTATGATAGGTCGCTACAAGGAACGAAACTAGAGAAGTTTGGTGTTATTTATGGCTCGATGGCCAAAGCGAACGGTCACAAGTTTTAAGATTTTTCCCGGAGTAAAATGAGAGTGAGATTTTTAAACAGTGAAGAAAATTCGTATTCCTTACAGAAATTAATATAATGACCCTAAATAAGTAAAGTAATATAAAGTAATGATTCTAATATAATGAAATAAGTAAAAATCTACGGTATTGATCAGATAAATAAATAATATTTACTCAAGTTACGCTCAACGATTTTATTATTTTTTTATTTAAATAAATGATAAAATCGTTGGACGTAGTATTACATATTTACTCAGGTTACGCCCAACGATTTTATTACTTTTTTCATCTGATCAATACCGTAGATTGCTTAGGAGAGTGGGGTGATGCCTGCTACCTAGGACCTTTCGAGTTATTTTTCAGCTTTCAGTACACTCTCAACATCATTATGATCTTTTTTCCAATAAAACCGTTTAACATGATTGAACCATGCTGGAAACTGTATTAGGGTGGATAAAATGTAAGGCGTCTGTCTCTTCCAAAGTTGATCTGAACTGACGGTAGGTACATCTCTTTCGTTCATTTGAGTTCGACGAAGGTGAGGCCAAACAATTTCTGCAATGTAGCCGATAGCGATACGTCAATATTGGACTGCAATATATTGAAGTAGTTGTGAAATAATATTTAATCCGCCATTTTGTAGCTGCGGCCATTTTGAATTTGCATCTTTTTCAAAGTGTACTACTATTCTACAAGTCAAGCTCTGTCATTTGATTCCCAATTACTAAACAAACAAACAAACAGGACAAGTTAAATAAAACCGTTTAAAAACATTAACATAGCCGTAGTTAGTACAAGTTATCTCTTGCTGATACGAGGGTTGCCTTTTATATTTCGGGATTAGAGAACAAAAACAAATATTAATAATCGAAAATCACTTTATTGTTTTCCAAAATATTCCCCATGAAAATCTATACACTTTTGCATGCGTTTGAACTAATTGTCGAAGCACTTTTGCTACCCTGATTGAGGTATCTCCAAAACATGCATTCTGAATGTTTACGTGCGGAAATAAAAAGAAGTCATTCGGTACCAAGTCAGGAGTATACGGCGGATGACTCATCAAATCGATGTTTTGGGTGCTCAAAAATGTAGTAGTTTGAGCCGATGTGTGAGAGCTCGCATTGTCGTGGTGAAGAGTGATCCGTCTTCGGCGGTTGGTTTTCCTGATTTCTCCGAAAATCACTGGCAAACAAATTGTTGTGTACCACTCAGAATTGACTGTTCTGCGTTGTTCTAGTGGTACCTTTGCGACATATCCAGTTTTTCCGAAAAAACCGGCGACCATTTGCTTGGAAGTGCTTCGTACGCGCACAACTTTAGTTGGATTTGGCTAATCTTGAAACACCCATACAGTCGACTACTGTTTACTTTCAGACTCATACGTGTTCATCCACGCACCCCAGTTCTATACCCAAAATGGAGAATATTTCTTTTGATCTGTTTGTGACAATGGACTTGTTTCATGCTATTGAAAACGATACTGGTTCGCTTATAGACTGATCGGGTTAGGGGTATATTTTACTTATCAAGCCTAATCGGTCTCAAGATCTCTTTATATTTCAAGAAACACGAGTTTGAATTGGCCGCGAGTCTGTTGACCAATAAAATTCATCGTGTCTCCAGCGGTGTTGCCAAGTGTATTGGTTTTTAGTATCCAATCACAGAACTAGCAGGTGTAGGCCAAGACTCGCCGAACACACACTCTCTTATTGACGATAACTCCGGGTACTCGCACAGGACATGCCTGACAGTCTCATCTTCCTGCTCACACATCCTGCATAGAGGTATGTCCACTAACCCAATATTTTGGAGTTGTTTCCTAAGTTGACAGTAGCCAGTCAGAAATCCTACTGTTAAGCTTAGATTTTTCTTGGTTATTGCCAGATAGTTCTTCGGCGGCAGCTTCCCAGGGTTGCCCAGGGTAATCCTGGCAAGATTGCATCCTTTGATTCCATCTCATCTCTTCAGGGATTGAGCATGGGTGTAACATTTGGCTAATTCCGCAATTGTCGAAGTCATCAGGCCGTAGGTGCCAGTGGGTTCAGAGTTTATTTTATAGTCGACGTTTCACGTCGTTTCGTAACAGTGCTTTGATAAAGCTGCAGGTACACCTAACCCTGATATTTCCAGCTGTCGAAGGCATAACGTGTTCTAAATATTACTGATGTAGTGGCTGTGAAAGTTACTTAAAAAAAAATAATACGTATCACAACGGTGAGACTATATTCTGAAGGACACGATCTATGGACTAGAGCTGAAATGAGAAGCCGAGACAAAGATAAACGCTGGTTCTAAGCTGAATCAAAAATAGAGTTTGATCTTATTGGAAGCCAAATCTCTATATATGGTATACTTGTCAAAAGCAGCTGGAATGCATAAACATGCATAAACAAAGGATCACGAAGTGATCTCTTCACCAAAAGTACAAATGAAATATATGCTGGAACAACTCCAGCAAACTTCGCTTTGTATTTGCATCATCGAAAGGATCTTAGCACGAGATCAAAAGGGATATCAGTCGCCATTAGGTTAAACGATAATGAAAAATTTTGCGGCCTTTACGTCTCGATGAAAGCCTCTACAAGGAGTAGATGAAAAATGGATCGATATATCTTTCTGAAACACCCTTCAAAAGAATGACACGATTAACTCATCCCAATCTGTTCCCATGTTTCCTCATGTCTAAAGTATCAAAAGCATTAGCCAGATCCACAAAGATGCGAAGCGTCCTAAACTCATATTTCAACGGAGACAAAATTTCATATTTGTCTAGATGGATCATCTACCTTGTCTCTAGTTTCTATCGCAATGGTAAATGCGGAAGAATATTCTATCCGCTTCGAATTCAGTAGTTAACTGCCTTGGTCTGCCTTGTTTACACGAATGAATCATTATGGTATCTTGTATCTAGAAGGTATTTTAAAAAGTGGTCAACGCAGAAGAATCATCTTCGAACTAGAAGAAGCAAAACAAAAGCAGTGGAATAGTTACAAAAGTTTGAATATGAAGTACGAAGAACTATTCATATTTTAGTTTGGTATAAGTCTATAAATGAAAATAATAGGTGTTATGTGTTCATGGCGGAGTCTCATCAAGCACTAGTAGTCTATCAAAAATATGTACTTGCTCATATGTGATGGAATTGCCCGGAATCGATGAAAATCTCACGATGAACTGTCACTTGAATACGTTGTATAATTTCCCTTTATATTTCATATCTCGATGTTACTTCATTTCACTTCAATTTAAGGTCATGTACGTCCCAAACACCAGTAATCATAATAAACATGGTGAACCACATTCACATAGCCAACGAGATATCACATTTCAATTGAGTCATTGCGATAGTATAAACCACACTTCAATAATGGTCACTGACCGTCACTCTATATTGCCATGTGATTTGTGGGTGGATTTTAATTGGGTCCATCATCTAAATGCAGCACTATACTTACTTGAATATATACCATGTTTGTATTAACATGCAAGCACTGTAGCTCGTTAAGTTGAATTTTGTTGATTTTAGTTGTGGTATACTTTGTGTACAGATAATCATCTTGACGTTTCGGAGGCCACAATCTGCCTCCGTCTTCAGAATAGAGAAAAATCAAATATCGCTTACAGTTTTGTTCCTTTGATTCGTTTTATTTTCAAACTCTTTCAACAGATATCAAAGAACATTTGAAATGTGCCAATGTTGTGAATTGTCTTTCGAAACATTTGGTTATACGGTGTTCCCCGATATTAAGCTGAAGCAATTTGGTCACTGTCTTTTCTCAATACCGGTAGCCAAGTACGCTTTATGAAACTACATGATTGACTTTTGCAGTTCACTGGGAAGAATATTAAACAATTTATGAATCTGTGGTTCATCTAAAAATTCGATTAGTCTACAGCTGGGTATTATAAGCTCTTGTGTTATGCAAGTGGATATCAGATAGTGTACGCATATTTGGCTAATTTGTATCTAGAGTTTTTAGAATGTAAAGTTCTGAAAGAGCCATTTATCTAGCGACCTATTTGGCATTGGCTGTCATCCTTTCAACCTTTTCTGCTGTCGTGCGCCTGATGGGATATTCCGGGGTAATATTTCACAGTTGAGATAATATTTTTTACAAATAAACGTCTTTATACTTCCACATTTCATACTCGATATTAGTTTCTCATGTGAACTTTATTTATATATATATATATA